GATTTATCAGAAATTTCTCTCTGCTGCCATTGGGAATATCTTTCCACCATTTTTCATATTAGTGATAATGACTGATCATTTTCCTCAAATATTGTGATACATACTACATATTTAGATTGGGGCCATTAGAATGTTTAGTATACGAATTTTATTATGCACAATTAGGAAAAAGATCTCCAATTTCAAAATAAACCTTCTGGGTACTTTCATAGCTACTCTGAACAACTAACTGAATCAGTAAACAAATCTATTTCTCAATTTCAGGTTACAAAAATTGACTTCCTGGGCAATGCCTTCTGCTCTCTTACATGTATTTTGCAATTACAGTTGAGAAATGAGGGTAGAAAAGGAATTAGTGAGGATTTGTTTTTCCTGCCAAGTCTTCCCTTCTTATTGTGAGCAAAAAATACACTTTCTCATTGGAGGATACTTCTAGAAAACATTCATTTTCCCAGACCAGTTCTTCAGCTTTAAAAAAACAAGCACAAACAAACAGATGTCATAATTTGGGCAAATGATCATAAAATGTACAACATAAGAAGCTGGTGATTTCTATATTTTCTACAGAAATGTGACAGGTATCACATTTCTGCCTAAAGGTTAATAATAATGTCGCAAGAAACAGAATGGAAATCTGTAGCTATGCAGAAAGGAAAGAATTGAATTGCACGTGAGAAAGTAGGCTCTAGGACAAGTGTATCTTCAGCTCCAGCCTACTGATAGAAGGGCAGTAACCCCGCTTCCAAGACAAATTTACTAACCAAGTTAGAAGCACTTCCTTGAAATACTAGGAATGTTCCTGCTCTGACATGTGTATCCCCAAAATGTTGGAGACCCAACCTCCAATGTGACTATATTTGAAGGTAAGACTTTTAGGAGATAATTAAGTTAAATGAGATAATAAGTTTTCAATCCTAATTCAATAAGACTGATGGTCTTAAAGAAGAGAAAGACGCCGGGCGCGGTGGCTCAAGCCTGTAATCCCAGCACTTTGGGAGACCGAGGCGGGTGGATCACGAGGTCAAGAGATCGAGACCATCCTGGTCAACATGGTGAAACCCCGTCTCTACTAAAAATACAAAAAATTAGCTGGGCATGGTGGTGCGTGCCTGTAATCCCAGCTACTCAGGAGGCTGAGGCAGGAGAATTGCCTGAACCCAGGAGGCGGATGTTGCAGTGAGCCGAGATTGCGCCATTGTGCTCCAGCCTGGGTAACATGAGTGAAACTCCGTCTCAAAAAAAAAAAAAAAAAAAAAGAAGAGAAAGACATCTCTTTCTCTCTTTCTGTCTCCATGTGCACACAGGACAGGAAAGGCCATGTGAGGACATAGTGAGAAAGCAGCCACCACTGGCAAGCCAAGAGAGAGCCCTCACCAGGAACCATTGGGCCAGCACCTTGATCTTGAATTTCCTAGCCTCCAGACCTGTGAGATACAAATTTCTGTTGTTTAAGCCACACGGTCCTTGATACTTTGTTATAGCAGCCCTAGTAGACTAAGATAGCTCCTGAGAACTTCACCCACAATATCACTTGTATCCTTACCTGATGAAGATCCATTCTAAGACTTTGTTGGCTAGGTTGAAAGTGACAGCAAATAAAAGCCACCCTGAACTGGGTCTGATGCAGTATTCTTGCCAAACCTCAAATCCGGACCAGTTCATCCTTATGCATTGAGTTTTTTTTATTCATGTTTGCTTGTTTCTACCAGCTTAACTGTCAACATAAATTTCATTTATAATACTGTATGTTCAGAGTTCCAAAAAACTGGTCCTACCAAGATAGTTTGGAATATGATGCCATTATAAGATGATGACTGCCTCTATCAAATCTTTACTGCCTTTTTCAAATTCTTATCATTTTTATTAAAATCAATCACACTAATCAATCTATACATCCATGTTTAAATATGACTTTTACTAATTTTCTTTCACCAACACTATTTTTAAAAATCTGACAGCATAGAGCAGTGATTAAAGGTATTTGCTTCAGGGTCAGATATAGTTACACTGCCACTTACAAGCAGTTTTTTGGACAGTTTATTTTGTTATTTTGAACCATTATTTCTTAAAATGAGCATCAGATAACATTTTCTTAAGGCAAGTGTGAGATACAAATGAGAAAAACAAAATAATAATAAGGATTCAACAATGAAAACTATTTGCATTAAAGATTGATAGAATTAGAAGGACAAATTGTAATTCAGCCTCTCTATAGTAATAAAGTGGCATCTACAGAGCAACTCTAAATAGACTTAATCTACATATAACAATTAATTCCAGATAATTTGAATAGACTATGTTTGAAAGGAGACTCACATGAAACAGAGTTTGCTCTTTTAAACTCTTTAGCCAAGATTTTTTTAAAACTGGGGTATAAATGCTTTGTATTTCCTTTCATGTTTGAAAGGAAAAGAAATATAGTACTTAACAGATTTTCAAGTTTCTCTTTTTTTTATTGTAATTTAGGTTCTGGGGTACATGTGCATATCATGCAGGATTGTAGCATAGGTACACACATGGCAATGTGGTTTGCTGCCTTCATTCCACCATCACCTATATCTGGTATTTCTCCCCTCATTATTCCTCCCTACACTCCCCACCCCCGCTCTCCCTCCCAACTGACCACAGTGTGTGTTGCTCCCCTCCCTGTGTCCATGTGTTCTAATTGTTCAACACCCGCCTATGAGTGATGACATACGGTGTTTGATTTTCTGTTCTTGTGTCAGTTTGCTGAGAATGATCATTTCCAGATTGATCCATGTCCCTATGAAGGACATGAACTCATAAGTCTTTATGGCTATGTAGTATTCCATGTTGTATATGTGCCACATTTTCTTTATCCAGTCTATCGATGATGGACATCTGGGTTGGTTCCAGGTCTTTGCTATTGTAAACAGTGTGGCCATGAACATACGTGTGCATATGTCTTTATAATAGAACAATTTACAATTCTTTGGGCATATACCCAGTAATGGAATTGCTGGGTCAAATGGTATTTCTATTTCTAGGTCCTTGAGGAATCACCACACTGTATTCCACAATGGTTTAACTAATTTACACTCCCACCAGCAGTGGCTTCCACAATGGTCGAACTAATTTGCACTCCCACCGACAGTGTAAAAGTGTTCTTATTTCTCCACATCCTCTCTAGCATCTGTTGTCTCCAAATTTTTTAATGATCCCCATTCTAACTGGTGTGAGATAGTATCCCAATGTGGTTTTGATTTGCATTTCTCTAATGACCAGTGATGATGAGCATCTTTTCATATGTTTGTTAGCCTCATCGATGTCTTCTTTTGTAAAGTGTCTTTTCATATCCTTCGCCTACTTTTGAATGGGTTTGTTTGTTTTTTTCTTGTAAATCTGTTTTAGTTCCTTGTAGATTCTGGATATTAGCCCTTTGTCAAACGGGTAGATTGCAAAAAATTTTTCCCATATTGTTGGTTGCTGGTTCACTCTAATGATTGTTTTCTTTTGCTGTACAGAAGCTCTGGAGTTTAATTAGATCCCATTTGTCTATTTTGGCTTTTGTTGTCATTGCTTTTGGTGTTTTAGTCATGAAGTTCTTGCCTATGCCTATGTCCTGAATGGTTTTGTCTAGGTTTTCTTTTATGGTGTTAGGTCTTATGTTTAGATCTTTAATCCATCTGGAGTTAATGTTAGTGTAAGGTGTCAGGAAGGGGCCCAGTTTCTGCTTTCTGCTCATGGCTAGCCAGTTTTCCCAACACCATTTATTAAACAGGGAATTCTTTCCCCGTTGCTTGTTTTTGTCAGGTTTGTCAAAGATCAGATGACTGTAGATGTGTGGTGTTGCTTCTGAGGCCTCTGTTCTGTTCCATTGGTCTTTGTCTCTGTTTTGGTACCAGTACTATGCTGTTTTGATTACTGTGGCCTTGCAGTATAGTTTGAAGTCAGGCAGTGTGATGCCTCCAGCTTTGTTCTTTTTGCTTAGAATTGTTTTGGCTATGCGGGCTCTCTTTTGGTTCCATATGTAGTTCAAAGTGGTTTTTTCCAGTTCTGTGAAGAAGGTCATTGGTAGCTTGATGGGGATAGCATTGAACCTATAAATTACTTTGGGCAGTATGGCCATTTTCACGATGTTGATTCTTCCCAACCATGAGCATTTTGGAGATGTTTTTCCATCTCTTTGTGTCCTCTCTTATTTCATTGAGCAGTAGTTTGTAGTTCTCCTTGAAGAGTTCCTTTACATCCTTTGTCAGTTGAATTCCTAGGTATTTTATTCTCTTTGTAGACAAACCAGTAAATCTGGAAGAAATGAATAAATTCAAGTTTCTCTTTAGACATTCCCTTGTTTAGGCTTGTACTAATCCACTCATTCTGGCTTTGACTGTTGGGTGAACTTTTCTGCCTTATTCCCAGATGTGATATGCAAATCTCCAGGTTTCTAAACTTTATGAATTATTCCCTTCTCTAATGAGGTTAATTGGGGTTTGGGCTAAAAACCCAGATTCCTTCATGTATGTGGATAGAGTGATGTAGAAGTATTTTATGATAATAAATATAAATGAAATTTAGAGTTTGATATAGAAATAGAAAACATTTAGGCAACTCACTGAATCAAAAATTACAATAATGATCTAACTTATATTGGTAAATGAGTTCTACTTGTAGAATTAGCAAACCAGAGTAACCAGATTTTATCTTGTAGTTTGCTTTGTGGTAGTTCCAACCATCTTGTTCAAGCTGAATTAAGGTAATACTAAAAAATACACACAGAGAGAGAAGCTTAAGTAAATTATTTATTCATTATATTTTCCTGGGTTGGGCTTTGGCCTCTATTTCATCTACTTTGTTTATTTTCAGGATGCTCTGGGATAACATAGTCGAAGTTCTAGTTCTACCTTTGTCACTTACTGGCCATCTACCCATATGATGCTGAAAAATATATTATGTAGCACTAAGATAAATTCAATGTACCTGCATAGTACTATTCAAAATACTTGGACAGTATTATTGTCAATATGTAGCCTAACAGATAAGAAACCACATTGAAAACAGTAAATCAGTCTCCAATACCGCCACTCTTCAGTTTGCCTGAAACACAGATGCGGTTTACGAACTCTACCAGAGAGGCCTTGAACATCAAAAACATCAAGCCATTGTTAAGTACCTTCAGCCAGGTACCTGCCAGTGAAAAAAAAAAAAAAAAAAAAAAAAAAAAAAGTGCCCTTGATTAAGCTTTCAGAGTTTTTCTAGAAAAAGAAACTATAAATCATTCATCATATGAAAACATTTTAGCTATCATTTCTCTTGCTATTGGGTGAGTAACTGAAGCTTAATGGTGAAGAAAACAGGCTGTAGAGCCAGACTGCCTGGGTATTTGTACCACATCTACACCTTTTGTATTGTTGGGAGATGTTTTGGATTGTCTTCCTTTGGATCAGTGTGATATAATATTTATTTCTGTGGAAAAAAAATGTTGCTACTTGGAAATCAAATACATTTTATTCTGCTGGGAAAAATTACTTACTACATATGTGCAATGATCTCCTAAGAAGATGATCTAAATCCCAGAATACGGTCTTCTGTGGACCAATTCAGCTCTTTTTGGCTAGGCTTTTCCCGCTATCTCAGAAATCAGGTCTTAACTTGCAGAGTCAGTTTAATCTGGAAAATGTCATTGTTTTCAATACCAATGAGCAGGAAAGCACCCTGGGTCAGAAGCACACTGAAGATAGAGAAGAAGGAATGGATGTAGAAGAAGGTGAAATGGGAGATGAGGAAGCTCCAACAACGTGCTCTATTCCAGTTGATTACAACCTGTATCCAAAATTCTGGTCACTTCGAGATTACTTCAGGAACCTTGTGCAATGCTATGAGAAGATTTCATGGAAAACTTTTCTCAATTATTCTGAAGAAGTTTTAGTTGTTTTTAACAGTTACAAATTAGATGATACTCAGTCCTCAAGAAAAAAGATGGAAGAATTGAAAACAGGAGGAGAGCCTGTATATTTTGCAAAATTTTTAACAAGTGAAAAGCTGATGGATTTACAACCGAGTGACAGTAACTTTGGTTGACACAACCTGTTGCAGTATCTCATTTTATTCCTATATCTCAAAGGGCAGGTCAAATTCAAAAGTTCAAACTATGTTTTAACTGATGAACAATGACTTTGGATTGAAGATACTACAAAATCAGTTTATCAACTACTATCTGAAAACTCCCTGATGGAGAAAGATTTTCAGAAATGGTAGAGCATATAATAAACACTGAAGAAAGCTGGAATTCATGGAAAAATGAAGGTTGCCCAAATTTTGTGAAAGAAAGAAAATCGGATACAAACCTATGAGAATAATTCAAAAAAGAACAACACCTGAGGACTTCCTAGGAAAAGGAGCCAGCAAAAAAATTCTGATGGGAAATGAGGAGTTAATAAGGCTTTGGAATCTTTGTCCTGATAATTTGGAAGCCTGTAAATCAGAGACAAGGGAATATACACCCACTTTGGAGGAATTCTTTGAAGAAGCCATTGAACAGGCAGACCCTGAAAATGTGGTTGAAAATGAATATAAGGCTGTGAACAATTCAAATTATGGTCGGAGAGCCCTGAGACTATTAGCACGGAGAAGTCCTCACTTCTTCCAACCAACCAACCAGCAGTTTAAAAGTTTGCCAGAATACCTTGAAAATATGGTAATAAAGCTAGCCAAGGAATCACTGCCTCCTTCTGAAGAAATAAAAACAGGTGAGGATGAAGATGAGGAAGATAATGATGCTTTACTGAAGGAAAATGAAAATCCTGATGTTTGGGGAGACAAACCTGTAACAGGGGAACAAATAGAAGTATTTGCCAACAAGCTGGGTGAACAATGGAAGACTCTGGCTCCCTACTTGGAAATGAAAGACTCAGAAATTAGGCAGATTGAGTGTGACAGTGAAGACATAAATATGAGAGCTAAACAGCTCCTGGTTGCCTGGCAAGAGCAAGAGGGAGTTCATGCGACGCCTGAGAATCTGATTAATGCACTGAATAAGTCTGGATTAAGTGACCTTTAAGAAAGTCTAACTAATGACAATGAGACAAATAGTTAGATTCTTTTTTTTTCTTTTTATTAAAACTGTGATAAGATTTTGTTACCAAGCAGCATTTGATAAGAGGTCCATTGGTTTTAGTAAACAATAAACATTTGTATAACAACAACAACAAAAAAAAAAAAAAAAACAAGAAAAAGAAAATAGTAAATCATTATAAATATAATGTTTTATAATGATACATCTTTGTACTTCTAATATTATTGCTTTAAATAAATGTGGTATATATTCACCATATGGCCAAAGTTACACAATTTTATCTTTTTAATTTTAGGTCATATATAAATAACCTTAATGTCAAAACAATCTTTATAGTGATGGCTCAATATCCCAAAAATGTGGGACCCAACAGGGACATTAATAAAGAGATAAAGTAGGCTCTGTGCCGACTTGTCAGAATGTGGTATGTGGCAAATGTGCAGTTACACAGCTTTAGGCCTCCCTTGGGAAACTGCCCAAACATTTGCCTTCCCACAGTGTATTTATTCAGGAAATACTCCTTTCCTGAGAAAAATCTGGCTCTCAAACCTCTCCCTGAGACTATGCAAGTTCTCCATTGGGGAAATAGAGTTGAAAATCTAGTAAAGAATGTTTATTAACAAAAATCTACTTGCAAATCCTAGTTATTGTCAATATTTTGTTGATTTACAACTGAGAACACTACTTACCTAAAGTAAACATGAAAAATAGGAAATAGAAAGCTATCAGAATTCCTGTAGAGTTTCTTGTCCCCCTCTCCTCCACCATAGTTTTATTCTAATGTTTTCTTTCTTTATTCATTTTCTTTGGTATTAGTGTGCCTTAAACTCACCCAAAATGAAAAACAGTCAAAGTAAAATAAAATAAAACAAAATGAAAGCACATCAGTTAAAGATTAAAAAGAAAAAAACAGGCTGCCACGTTTTAGTGGACAGAAGGGTAGGCCCCCTGGAGATGAGCCAAATTCAGTGGATGGCAGTAATCAACAAGAGGACAACGACATTAGCCACTGCTGAGCAGAAAATTAGAAAGATTCTTCAAGTTATTTCTTTTCTTCTTTTCTGGTTGTCAGGTTTTGTCTCTTCTGTCTTCCACTGGTACACCATAAATAAGCAGCTAAAATGAAATTTCTTTCCTTTAGACATGGCAAAGTACTCACTGAGCTTAAAGATTAATAGTAAAACTTTAAGAAAGAAGAAAATTCAGCAATATGTAATAAAGAGAGAAAAATCTGAACTAGAAACTTTAAATTATATAAGTACCATGCTTTTAATATACATGTAAGCACCACATATTTTTTCAAGATTCATTTAAAGATGATAATGTGTATGCTATAAAACGGATGATAAAATAGATCAATAACTGCCAACTAGTTGTATCATACCTTTCTCAAAATGTTGAAATAGAAATCTAATGTTATAATTTAATCCTATTACTCTCTTTAATTCTATGTGAGCCTCTTGCTCTTTTCTTTTTTTCATCCCATACATCTCATTCTTGTCAATATCCGTTGCCATTCCCTTTGAGGTTTTTTCTTCAAACCACCAAAGCCAAATTGCCAAAATATTTTAGCTCCAATGGATCTGAATCTTTAGAACATGCCTTTTACATTGATACCTGTACTGCTTCACCTTACCACTTGCAGTCTTGCAATTCTTAGTTCCCATGCTTAATCAAATTCAAACAAAAATGTCTCTCGGTTTGACTTTTAAACTCTTTCCAAATCACTGTTATTTTTCAATTATATTTTTAGGCCTTCAAAAAGCCTGAGATGACATTCTTAACACAGAATAAGCTCTATAAATACTGAGCTTCTATTTTTACAGTGTACCCGAGGTTTTCAAAAGTTACTTATAAAAATCATAATAGCTAACATTATCAAGCTATTCTCCATTCTAATTCTTTTCTATTTAATCCATTATAATACTATGTGGTAGGTTCTAGTAAAGTACCCATTTTATAGATAAGTAAATAGAGATAGAAGCAAATATAGTGTCAGGTTTATATACTTAGTAAGTTACAGAACTGGCGTTTGTATGATCTGTTTTAGTTGGCTAGGGCTGCCATAACAAAGTGCTAAACTGAGTAGTTTGTTATTTCCTCATGGTCCTGAAGGCTAGAAGTTTGAGATCAAGGTAATCAGTAAGATTGATTTCTTCTGAGCTTTTGTTCTTGATTTAAAGATGTTCAGCCTTTCCTCTGTGTGTGTCCGTGTCCTAATCTCCTGATTTTATAGGGATACCAGACATATTGGATTAGGGCTCAACCCCAATGGCATTTATTCTTTTTTTTATTATTATACTTTAAGTCCTGGAGTGCATATGCAGAATGTGCAGGTTTGTTGCATAGGTATACACGTGCTATCGTGGTATGCTCCTTCCATCCCCCTTCCCTGGCCGTTATCTACAATAGGTATTTCTCCTAATGTTATCCCTTCCCAATCCCCCCATCCCCTGCCAACCCTCATCTGTCCCCCCACCTATTCTTAGTAACCTCATTAGAGGTCTTGTTTTGAAATACAGTTGCATTCTGAGGTACTGGGTGATAAAACTTTAACATATAAATTGGAAAGGGGACACAATTCAGCCCCTAAAACAGTCTTACTACTAACCCCCTCTTCTTAATCACTAAACAAACTTTAAAAAGAAAGGAAAATCTAGAGAAAGAGAGAGGGAAAGGAGAAAAAGGACGAAGGGAAGAAGGGTGAAGCAAAGGAGCTACTTGGGATGGCAGCATGGAGCATTACATGGATTGATTTAATGGCTTTTAGTTTCCGTAAGGGAGACAGCCATCTCTACTACAGTAATGCACCTGCCAAGCAAACCAGAATAATCATGAAGGCAACTGGAGGCAGAGTGCTTTCCCAAAGATGCTGGAGACAAAATAACTAATTCTTGGAAGGTAGCTTTGTGTGGCCAAGTGTCCATGAATCCTGGAGTCACTGAGATATGAGTGCAAATATTACTCTGTTTTATTCTATTGAGAAAAGTTATATTTCCTTTATGAACCTCATTTTTCCTGAGATGTACTACATCATACCTCTTATAGGCTAGGATTATTGAGGGGATTATAGTTCATATGAAGTTCATAGAAGAGTTCACACAAAGTGAAAATCTCAAAGTTCTTCCTTTTTTCTTTCCTTTCTTGGGTCCTCTCTTAGTAGATTCAATATAGACCATTTACCTGTCTTTCACATATTCTTTCATTAATATTAATATTATAAAGAGTAAAATAGCAAATTATGCTTTTCTTCTAATTACCTCTTTTCTAAGCATATTTTTTTTTGCTATCTTTCCCACAGACTCACATTTCTCTTTTGCTTGAATTTCAGCAATCATTCTTATCTGTCTTCTTTGACTTGAAAAATATCTATCATTTCAGCAAAATTGTAAAAATGTTGAATCTACGTCATTTGTGTTTCATTTTTTATTAAACATTCGTTAAAACAATTTGAAGTATTTCATACCTTTAAAAAATGAAAGAAGCAATACAGGACACAATTTTTAAAATATTTATGGCACCATTTCCCAGTACTTGTTTACTGATCTCTTTACTTTTGGTGGAATTAGTAGAAATAAAACACCATGCATATATCCAAAGATCTATACAGCAGCCTAATTTTAACTCACAACGTTTATTCTAATTTATTAATTATTTATCAAGTATTACTTGTATCAGTCATTGTTTGGGATATTGAACATAGAGTTGTGAATCCTACGTAAAGTGCCTGTGCTAAGAATAGAAAACATCTGAATGATAGAGACAGCACACATGTAAGCCATAAATATATAAATGGTGACAAGTGCTATTCAAAAAATAAAGCAAGACATTACTGGTATGAATGAAAAATGGTGCAGCTGCTTTGGAAATAGTCTGGAAGTACCTCAAATGGTTGAACATAGAATTGTCATGTGATTCAAGAATCTTACCCCTAGTGATATACCCAAAAGAAATGAAAAAATATGTTCACACCAAAACTTGTCTACAAATGGTCATAGCAGCATTGTTCATAATAAGCAAAAAGTAGAAACGGCACAAATTTCTATTAATTGATGAGTGAATACATTTTAATATATTTATACTATAAAATATTTTCAGCAATAAAAAGAAGCAAAGCAATAATACATGCTACAGCATAAATGGACCCTGAAAACATGTTAATTGAAGAAGCCAGACACAGTAGGCCACATATTATATTATTACATTTAACTAAAATTTTCAGAATAGGCAATACATACAGATAGAGGCCAAACAATTGTTTTCTAGTGATGTAGAGATGGGGAAATTTAGGGAAAGATGGTGATGCCTAAAGGGTGGAGAATTTCCTTATGGGGGAATGAAATTGTTCTAAAATTGAATGTAATAATATTTGTACAAATCTATGAATAATTAAATTATTTTAAAAATTAAATTTATCTAAACCAAAAATTAGTGCTCATTAAAAGACACTTGTAAGAAAATAGATAAGCCAATAACTGAAAAAAAATTTATAATATATATGTATTTGACAAATAATTTATATCCATTACATATAAAGATTTTCTACAACTCAATAATGAAAAGATAAGTAATATTTTAAAAAATTTAAAAGACAAGTAATATTTTTAAAAAGCAAAATATAGGGATAGAGAGGAGCAAAGAAACTGATGGTAGTTTCTTAAATAAGGTACTTGATGAACAGCTTTCAGAAGAGAGAATACCTGACTGGAATACCCGGCCAGAGGTCCTGAATAAGAAGGAAGTCTGCCATTTCAATTTCTTGTAGAGGAGTGTTCCCAGCATAGGAGATAGCAGTTTAGAAGTACTAAATCAAGAATGACCTTGGTATATTCAAGAATCAGCAGTATCAATGGAACCAAAGGATTAATAGGTAGAAGTCATAAAGCTGAGTGATTGCTGGAAAGGCTTACAGGAAATCAAGTTGAAAAAGTAGTTGCAAATGATGTATTAGAACTCTTCGCCTTGGTGAAATGATCCCGTCTCACAATGATGAGGATGATAATAACACAGTTAAACATTTCCCAGCTCCTGCTTCATGTGTCAACCTGCACTTATACAGTTAGAAAAGTTATAACATCAGATGCAATCAGTGTAGGACTGGATTTATCCATAATAAACACACCAATT